TTGCTGAAAGACAAAAATCCTGAAATGGAGTTACTTCAAACTTTACAAAAATCTATGATGTGATGAATGAGAACTGTATTTTTAAGCAAAGTCCACTTTTTTTATGACTCTCCATCAAAATTAAACAAGAATCCCTTGGCTGACTTCTTCTCTTTTCCCCTCAGCTTTCTCTGCTTCTTCCTCTTTCTTTCTTCAGTTCAGATTCTTCCTGAAGTATTCTTAACCCTGCCAGCTTTAAGACTCCGCAACCACCCTGCCCGACTCAGCACTCCATAGAAGCAAGCAGAGCTCTCCTCTTGTTCTGATCTCACAATGTTACACGCAGCCAGGTGATGGAAGGATATGGCATTAAAATAAGGTAACAAAATCATGTAACAAAATCCTACTCTACTAAAGGCTCCATCTATAATTTGAAGACATAATAGTGCACTATACGGAGCTATTCTGTTATCTTCTCTTACCAATCAAAATGGTACCACAGGAGGCTAGCTGCAGCAGACACTAAGAACCACGCTTATCCAGACACTCGCTAACATGAAGTGTCTTCATTTCTATTCACAGTCAGAAATACTAAACCTTACTTCACTTTAAAAAGAAAAGAAAAAAAATAGTCACATAAGCACCTTCTCTAATATCTTCCTCTGATCCACTCAGCTCTTTCCTTTCCTCCTGAAAGTCATAGGCAGGTATAGCTTGATCTTCCTGTGCTGGTTTACCAGCTTTTCCTCCATGCTTTCTTCCTGATGGTGCCATAATGAGATTTTCTTCCTACTGAAATGGTATGTTGTGATGGTTACATACCTTTCCTCCCAGTACTCTGAAGATAAATATGTTTTCATGCTTACATTGACCTGTTATGGACAGCCCTGCAACAGTCTCCACCTGTAAAGATACTCAAGCAGTCAAGGTAGTCTTGTGGTAATCCAAAGGACTACCCATCAGTGGTGTTTTTAAGAAAAGGGTAAAAAAAAAAATACCAGGGCTAGCAGGAACATACTCGATTCTGCTGAAAAGCAAGTAGTAAATTACACACTTTCTTCAGGTGCCTGCCTGCTTGGCTTCCATAATGTTTATTATGTATTTTGTCATATCCAGTACTGCATTCCCCAAAAGCTATGCCAATATTCTATTTAACAAAATACAGAAATAATAAACCATAAAGAACAATCTGATTCTACAAGCCATCCCACACTAGAGACGCAAATATACACACACGCTATTTTTAAAAATCCCAGGCAACTTTCACGTTCTGAATTATCTTTATAGCTATTATGACTCTGCATTGTGTAATGTAACTAATGCAGTTTCTGTATTTGTAAATGTTTTACAAATACACTGCCCTCTTAAAAAAATATTAATTTCTTTACACTATTAATACTAATTTTATATATAATGTGTATTTTTATAAATATTCAAGGAATAAAATAACTACTTAGAAGAAAAACAGAGTAGTTGTAATCATTAAATGCATGAGTGACAAAATAAAATAATTTTTTCCTTAGCACTTTATCAACAATACAAATAACAAAAATATAACGGGAAATAACAAGCAACTGAATCTTTGCTGAAATATTTCTTCTCTTGTTATCTTTGTCTGATAGCAAGAGGTACGAAGCATTTCAAGTTGTGTCACATGACATATACTTTTAAAAAAGCCTGCAAAAAACCCCAGGATTACTTGGAAGATGGAAAGAATACAGAAAAAAAACACCAGCTGCAAGTACCCTGTTTTCCAAACTGAGCACGATGTGACTCAGCAATGGATAAACTTCTCATTCTAGACGCAATTCAACACAGCTAGAAATACCAACAGGTTTCCCACAAGCCAGGGCAAAGATCGATCTGAAAATGAAGTTCACACACTGAAATTGAGAACTCAAGTAAAGACATTTTCAATTTCCAGGACTATGATGTCCCTTCAACATTAACAGCTGTCTCACATCTGAGTTTTCCATTTCTGTTTTTTTTTTAATTAGTTGCCCATAGCTATGAAAATGTTTCTTTTAACACATATATACGGGATCACACTAAGCTACTGAGTAAGGAATGCTGCTTTTTAATACCCAGCTTTTTCTGTGTTTGATGCTTCTCTATGTAGTATGAAGATATTTAAACCTTACAAATTTCTTGAGACTCGAAACTTCTTTAAATTATTGATCGGAAAAAATCAAAAGCTCTTGCATTAAAATTATCCTCAAATAAGAGAAAACTTTCAAAACTCATTCCACTTTTCAACTACCGTGGCTTTTGCAAACACGATGCAAGGAGGGAAGTACTGGTACAGTATGTGCCTGGGCACGTCTCTCTGGCGCCAAACAAAGCACTTCAACTTTAGACTACAAGCATATACCTTCTCTCACATACAGACACTTTTCTTCATACTGAAAATCAGGATCCAAGGCAGAACTCCCCAGTCCCTCTATACACTGCAGAACAATCTGGCCAATTCACAACCCCACACAGCCTTCACCCATCCTGTACAGCTACCTGCTTTAGCTGATCAAGTATCTTCGATCCACAGTTGTGTAGTTAAGGATTTTTCAGAGAAAGTCACCTCCTTTTTTCACTCTACCTAAAAATATGTCAAATAAATCAGTATTTGTGTGAATTTCCTACATGGGTTTTTTCACCATGGACGCCTACCTGTTTCCACCTCAGAGCAGCAAGGGAAACTTGGGCCTGCACAACGGCTTTTGGGGGGAAGCCCCTGGGGTGTAAGGGGCTGAGGGGCACTGCGGTGCCCTAACCCTGTTCCTTACTCTTCACCCAAACACTTTTCATCCCTCCCCCTCTGCCTCTACCCTGCGATAGTCTCTTCTCCACTCTCACCGCCTCAACCCCACGCAGCGCCTGCCGCCGCCTCACAGAGGGGACCCACCAGCAGCAGAGAGGGCGCCCCGCAGCCAGAGGGCACACCGCTCCGTCCCAACCGCCTCACCCCCACTCGCACCACGGCTCCTCGCAGCCCTCACGCTCCCTCCGGCGCCTCTCCCGGCCGAGGGAGGCGCGCAGCGACCCCAAGCTGCGCTCCCGCCTCAGCGACTCCCACTCCCGAGGAAAAGGCGGGAAGCCGGGCGGGCCGCAGAAAAGGGAGGAGGCGCATGCGCAGTAACACTCCACCGGCCCTTGGGGAGCGCTACCTGCGGTCCAGGCCGGGCACGTCGTGCAGATTTCCGTAATAAACTTGTTTAAACCTCACCTACCTTGATCTATTTTTATCCTTTTTAAATAGAAATGGCTTTAATTTCTTATTGGTGGGCGTAGGCTGGGGTATGATGCCAAGGGAGGATTTTTCCATAAGTCAATGGAAATGGGCAATATTCCTCCAGTCTGATTAATTTTACAAACCACATGTTCTGTATTTTAGATTTTTCTACTGTTCTCACAGCATCTTCTGTCCTCAGTCAGTTAACGTATTTTGCTCTTTACTTAGGAATAGCAAACATAAAAATCTATTTTAAAAAAGAAATTATCCTAACACTATTTCAATGTTCAAAGTTCTCATCAACCTCAACCATTTGAAAAATTATACTTAGCATACTTCGTATTTCCTTAACCAAGTCTCAGTTTCCACTGGGTCTGGCTGGGGTGCAGTTAACTGCTTAGTTGCCCCCACAATACTGTTTGAATCCTAGCTTAGCCTGCTTCGGTTACTTTTTTTCCTGGTACCATGCATACAGATTTTAGCAGTGATTTTCAATGAATGCTCCTCAGTAAGTTTATGCTACCTCTTTTGGGGCTCTAGTGAAACGAAGTGGAACGAACCTACCTTCAAAACTTTGTTTTAAACAAAAAGGAATTGCAGTGACACCTGAGCTATCTATGCAATGTTTATTAATACATAACTTCAGCAGAAAAATTTCCATAAAATTTCAATCAAGTTTCTCCAATTATTTTGATTAGAATGCCAAATACCATTTTTAAAAAAAACCCAAAAACACACAGATCCTGGTCAAACTTGAATCTAGGTAATAACAATTTAAAGTATAAGAAGCTATCAAAGCTTTCTTGTATTTCCTCAAAACGCCTAATTTTCTGCTAGTCTGAAGTAGTGTAAACTACTTATTTCATGCTAGCAATATATATTATGCTGACATATAGAATATAAATATAACCTTAATAATTAAAAGTGCTTGCATTTTTACAATGCTCAATAGTTTGATTCTACTTAGAGAATCCATTCATGCTTCACATTAATGTTAAATTATTACTGTTGGAAGATTTTAAGGGAAAAATCCTTTTAACAAAAGGATTCACACACATCAATGGCTAATTTATCAAAACCGGTGAGTTTCAGTTTACTTTAAAACAGAAACAGACAAAACTTAACACATTTTAGTTAATTCCAAAGCAAACCAAGTATCTTACAATACATACGCACATACATTTTGTACATTATCTGATTACAAAAATTAATGCTTTTGAATACTGCTAATACAATTAACTGAAGGTACACCACCAAAATTTTTGCTGGAAAGGATTCAGTATCCTTTCCCACATAAAATGGCACTATTCTGATGTCTTAGTAAAATACAGGGCTAAACCCTGTTAAATTTAAAAACACCAAAGTGTCATGTCAGTACAAATACTGTTTTCTGAACTGAAAACTGCTCCCATACATTGCTACATTAAAGCAGTTTGTTACCCATTCATAGAGAGAGGCACTTTTGCTTTTATATTTACAATGCTAGTAAAATACTATACCTTGATCATTCTCATTTGATTGCAACCCTCTCTTTGTAATCAAGCCAAGAAATTACACCATTGTATTCTCTGGAATATAAATACACCAGATATAAAGAATCTTTCAAACAACCATTAGTTGTTCTGTTACTGTGTATTTTTTTTATTATTAGCATATCTTTCTTTCGAATCCCAATTAAATACTACAAATAGGGGGACATGTCAGTGTGCTTTAAAGAACGTCAACATCAATAAATGTATACTAAATCTAAATGACAAGTTACATAATTCTCAATTTTCCTGTACGGCTAAAAAAAGCAGCAATGACAGAAATATGCAAAATGTTTTGGAATGCAAGATCAAGGACCTGTTAAGCTGATCCCAAACAACTTTGCCTTCCAACATTTTATCTGGTTGGCAACATCCACTGCAATAAATGCAGTTACATTTCTTTAGGTAACCCTTTTTATAAAAAAGGATAACATGGCCATGAACTGACAGTTGTAAATTAAGATCTGTTGAAAACTGCCTATGTACAGGTTTCCTGCAATTATTTTTGTTGTTGTTTTGCACTGTCACAGCTCCAGCAGCTTGTATAACATGAAGAGTACTGCGAAGATTCTAACTGTAGATGCATGATTTTTTTTTCTTCATATCAACGTAATTAAGTGTCAAACCATAAAAGACACTTTATGAGAGCGATATTTTTAAATGCTTATTCACATCTTGAGGTAGACCGATCTCCAAAATAAAGCTCTTCTATACTTTGATTCGTTCATGACCAACTTCCTTTTGGATCCTTCTCCTTGGAAAAATCTTTCGTTTAAGTGCAATTAGCTGAGGAGAGAAAAAAAATATAGTATTTAGTCCTCTGCTGGGTAGAGGTAGAGAGCTGGTCAGGCTTTCACCCTAGAAACTATAAAATCTGTACCATCTATGGTAATTAAGTCAATACTGTCTTTTTTTTTTTCTTTCCACTGCATAGGAAGAAAGTTACTTACTCAAATTCATCTGTTAGGTGTGCACATTTCTACTGCACTTCTCAATAACCAGAATACAAGTAGAAAGTGAAAAATACAGTATACCTACATTCTGATTATTTTGTGTATAACACCAGTTACATTCAGTTCCCAAAAGATCAACACAAAGCTGGCATCTTAAAAGAGTATTTATACACCTAGCTGTACTACTGAGGAGTTGAGTACCTTCTTCCAAAACCATGTTACTAATGGAGGGTGAGTTTTCTAATATATACAAAAGGCTGAAAATCAAGGGAAAGATTCATGCAAAAGTTACAGGTGGGAAAAAAAATAATAATCAAAAGCCAACCTTTCAAGAATTACACCCTCTTCATCAGACCACGGAAAGTGTTACTTAAGGCCCCAACCTGCAAAGAATTACCCATATGATTTGTTCCATGGACTCCCTCTAAGTTTAGCAGGATTAATTGTGTTCAAGAAAGCCATTTTATGCTTGCAGAAGTGGAGGAGGTTTTCCTTCAAGCTGGATTCAAACTCTTTTGAATTCAATAGAAGTCTCCGCAATTACTTACAAGGCCTCTAAATACCTTAAGATTCCCTTCAGGACTACAGTATTGCTATTACTTAAATTTTCTTCCTGTTAACTTACTTTTCACTTTTACCCACATGTGTGTTAATAGACCAAGAATTTAAAAACAATTACTGATTTTAAGCATCCAAATTTAGCACACTGAAGACAGACTTGACAGTCATAAGGCACTTGAAAAGGTTACAGCACTCTCCTTCCCTCCATATAGCTCTCCAAAGAATCTCAACATTGTAACTTAAAAAATGAAGCAACCTAATCATTAGTCACGTAACATCTTTACTTCCTTTATGAAGGAAAAATCCTAGCTACTCTTCAACACCTATTTAAAAAAATTCATCTTATGTTATCCTGAAGATACAGCTCTATTAAGTGTTACAGATTTGATATTAATTTTACCTGTTCAGCAAAAAATGAGATGACTGTAAATACAATAAGTGTTGCTAGAACACAATGGGTCCAGAATTTGAGCTTGTCTCTATATGCCCTCCTGCACAAAGAAGGAAACAGAAAAAACAGCTTCATGTATTATAAATGCAAATATATAAACTTGAAAGTGTTTCCATGAAACAGGCAAAGAAAATTTTTTCCAGTACTTAAAGGGTAGCTAGAAACATGATGGAGGCTCTCTCTTCACAAACAGCCACACGGAGAGGACAAGAGGCAACACGTACGAGTTGGACTGGGAGAGGTTTCACCTTGATAGAAGAAAATTTTTTTACGGCAAGAACAATCATTCACTGGAACAGCCTCCCCAGGGATGTGGTAGAGTCCCCACCACTGGAGGTTTTCAAGACGCAACTGGACAGTGTGCTAGATAATCTCATCTAGGCTCCCTTTCATATGAAATGTTGGACCAGGTGATCTCTTGAGGTCCTTTCCAATCTGGCCTGTCCTATGACTCTGTAAAACATTTTGAAAAACAAGGATTTCCTCCAGCACTTCAGCACACTAACCCAGCCTGGTAGAAATCTGCTCTGGCTGCAAACAAGTCCAAATAAAGCATTCTTTTGAAACTAACAAAGTCTTGATGGATGTCCTCAAGAAGGGAGCCAACAATATGTGTACTCCTTACAGCACAAACTTCTACATCTAACTGCTGAAAGGGGGTAGCCCCCCACTCCCTCTACCACTGCTACAGCAGGGCTTGTAGCACTGCAATCCACACCTATTCTTGTCACCTACAATCCTTCTGATTCCTTCTACGGTTTCTCTAATATTTTCTCTTTCCTTACTAACAGCTATTTCTCATAATTTGCTGATCAGCAACAAAATTACTATACTAGTCTTCTTGTCTCATTTTTATCACTGTACCTGCCAACCTTTTGCTCGTATTCTTAAATCCCAAATTTCTAAAGTTATTATTTATAAAATGTCAAGAGGTAAACACACACAAAAGATTTTATACATTATGTAAAAATGACACACACATGGATCTCTTCTGATGATTATCAGCTGATTATTGCTGTCTGACAGACTAAAAAAAAAAAACTTAGTGAGAAATGCAGCAGTTTGTATTGCCCCTGTGCAACAGGCATTCCAGACAACGGTGAGTTGTTTGGGGTTTTTTCCACATTTAAAGAATGCCAGAAGTCTTGAAATACTTATTTAGAAAACAACAAACAAACAAACAAGCAACAACTACTTTGAGTTAGGTTAGGGACAATCAATGAAGTGTTAATGACTTTCATAAAGAAAACCTCAAATGCTGCAAACATCAAATTTTAGTCCATTCAAATCTTCTCACATCAGTTAATGCCTTCATGACAATACTGGGGGGAAAAAGCTGCTTGTACCAGTATGTTCTACAATTATATGCTTTTGCACTACAATAACTTGAAGACAGCATGTGTAACCTACCATTCTTGGAGTTCATGCATGTGAAGGAAACGATTCCGATATTCTCTCGGCAGTTCAAATTGGGAAGGTATAGGAAACATTGACTCATAAAAATCCCTAAGCACTGCTTTCACTGTCTGAGCATCCTTATGATTGTGATCAATATTGTCATTTAGGCAAACAAATTTTCTAGAAAACAAGAAGTCGTTGTTAGAATATATAATAATATAGCCCAGGTATTGGCAAATCAAGAACACAAACAGAATCCTTTTAAACAAAATTGATACAGTATCCTTTTAAAACCAAATTGATATATTTGATACTAGCAATCAGTTTCCTTATTGCTGTGTTATTTTAAATTAATTTGATTTTAATTCTAAGGGCACCAAGGCTGACAACAAGTCAAAACCTCTGAGGAATCCAGTGACAAGCCACATTTCTCTCTTCGATTTATATAATGCTGCCATCTAATGGACACTAGTATGCATCATCTCAGAGCCCACCACTGGATACAGATGGCAGGTTAGAAAGCCAGCTTTACGATTTGGGTAGGGGTTTTTGTCGTTTTAGATAAATTATCACGAGCAAAGTATCTTAAATAAAAAAACTGAGCTCCATTGTAGGAGGTAAACATACTAAATTATTAATATTTTACTGTGTATGCTCCACTCTTCAGAGAAAGTCAACGTAAAAACTGCAGAAGATTGCACAAGAGAAGGCAAAGCTTGGTCCCCAGGCTTTGAGTTACTGAGAACAATATATAAATTGGGCAGGACATGACTTGAATCACGGACCCAAAGCTGAACTTCTATAATCAACCAAAGTACAACCTGGATAGAATTTATATAGAGAACACTGTGACCGAATAAGCATGCTCCCAATAATGCCTCTTGCAGAGAGTTATTTCTCATACAAGAAACATACAACGACCTAAGTTACTGCAGGGTATTGAAACCAAAGCAGCAACTAGTGTGCTAGACCTTGGCCACTCTAACCTGGTGCTTGACACAAAAATTCCCTTTCCCACATATGGGCAAGGTTATGTGCTTTATTTATATTGTGAGATACAAGACCCTTACATTTTCCCCAGAGGGAGAAATCATATCTGGTGACATATGCCTTGTAATTGCTAACCTTTGTAAATAAGTAGTTCTGGTCAGCTGTATTCTCTACAATATGGTGTGCTCTTTCAAAGAGCAAAGTTCAGACTTCTACATGAAGCTGGAAATAAGCAGAACTCTAGAGCACATCAATCTGCCTACACAGGGCATTACCGCTTTTCCTCAGTCTGTGCTGAATCTGGCGTAATTGGTAACCTTGCTCTGTACGATTACTGCAGAGGATAAACAGTCATTCAAATTGCTACATCTGAGAAGAACAAAACACACATCTCCTCTTCAAAGATGAGCAGGCTATGTCTACACTATCAAGAATACTATGCAAAGCAGCTAGTTACGGCAATCATATGTCTACACTACAAGCACTTTCGGAGTTCACTCTGAACTATTCCTGACCTTGTCCCTTGAACTGGCAGCTCATTAGCCCTGGGAATGCAGTAGCTGCACTCCTGGAGTGTATATCCCTGTTTAGCTTCACCTTAAAGAGACACAGTTTATGGACCGAGAGGTTTCTATAGCAAACCAAAGCACAGCAAGCATGAGCCATGAGGACATTAACCTGTTTCAAATGGAAAGGCTGTTTTAATCCATCCAAAATAAACCAAACCTGACATTCCTTTGCATATTCCAGAATTAATGCCTAGACGATTAAGGCTCACTTTTCCTTAAGGATGCAAAACAAACATTTTAGGCCAGTCAGTAAGCAAACAATACTTTTAGTTCATCCCAAGAACACCTGTTTTTAGAGACTGTGTATAATTATTGGTTTATATGCAGAGAAAATATGGCAAAGAGAAGGAAAGGTATGACTACAGTACTGCACTATTCTTTGCAGGAACACAGCCCAAGCAATTGATTCAACCTCACTTCACGAACCAGCCAACAATCTGGGAATACAATGCACTATTGTTTCTTAACCCAAAAACACCCCAAAGTGTATGCATATATGGATTCTCAGGCTGAGTCCATAACAGCATACCAGTGCATCATATGAAAATTAGGGAAGATTCAAGACAGATCAGCTCACCTGCCTCATCTTGTCTGTTGAGGTTCCTGAGACAACAGACTAGACACCTTTACTCAAACACATCCTCATTTAAGGATGCACTCACTCCACAGAATAGGCAGCTCCATTTTAAGTTGCCAGGCCTCAATCCATTTGGCATACTCATACCACAACCAAAACAGCATCAGGATCAAGTCTGACATTAGCAGCATCCTTCAAAATAAGAAGCCAGTGATTGCAAGCATGAACTTGAACACTGAAAGTGAGAAACTCATGTTACATGCCCTCTTTGGGTCTAACAAGGCTTGAGATCACACCTACATTAAAAAAAAAAAAAGTCCTAGCCAGCAGATGCAATTTCTTTTGAACCAGGTCACTGTAAGAACTAGAATGCAGAAGCTATGTGGTCAGAAGACACTCTTGTAAGGTGGAGCAATAGATACAAACCACCTTCAGCTGCAAAATGTCTCAAGACTAGCATTCCCCTTCCTGAAGGAATGACCCACAAGTAGTTCACTGTAAGAGGCAAGTGAAAATCTGCTCTTTGTCTACAAAAGCAAATAATAGTGTAGCTTTACAGGCAGCTGAGATTACCCAACAGCTTGCTGTGAGCTGCAAGAGGAGGTTTCATTTTCCCCTCACTCAAGGTACCTGGTTCTACTTTCTTCCTTGCTCTGTTTTTTTGACATTTGTCAGACCCCTCCTTAAGGGCAAAGTCATTAAATTGGCAGAGAACTCTCTAGTTTTCTGAAGAGAGACGCAAGATAAAAAGTGTGCAACTGACAGCAAGGAAAGAGAGGAGACTGGTTGAGGCACTGTCTCACTTTGAAGCCTACAATCACAGAATGGTTTGGGCTGGAAGGGACCTTAAAGAGCATCTAGTTCCAACCCCCCTGCCCTGGGCAGGGACACCTCCCACTAGACCAGGTTGCTCAAAGCCCCATCCAACCTGGCCTTGAACACTACCAGGGAGGGGGCAGCCACAGCTGCTCTGGGCAACCTGTGCCAGTGCCTCACCACTCTAAATCTCCCCTTTTTCAGTTTGAAACCACTCCCCCTCGTCCTATCACTAAATGCCCTTGTCCCTCTTGAGCTTTCTTGTTGGCCCCCTTCAGGTACTGGAAGGCCGCTATAAGGTCTCATCAGAGCCTTCTCTTCTCTAGGCTGAATAACCCCAACTCTCTCAGTCTGTCTTCATAGGAGAAGTGCTCCAGACCCCTGATCATCTTCATGGCCCTCCTCTAGACTTGGTTCAACAGGTCCAGACTTCTAAAGACAGCTAGCTATTAAATTACCTCACCATGTCTTGTCAAACCCCAGTTCTCATGCAATGGGCTCAGGAGTACAGTTAAATGCTCCTGCGAAGCAAATTCAGACTTGAGTGTCACATACAGTATCCTTTGCTTTGAAAGGCCATTGTTGTGAAATGTGCTCCAGGACACTTATTTTCCCCATTTATCTCTCAGTCATTTCAGGAGTCTAATTCAACACTACAGAGCCTACTCTCAGATTTGGCTATCCAAACGTTTTCACCACTGCAGATTGGAGAAACTGAGGACTTACCTTCCAGCTTTAGATTCTCTCTCACAAAATATTTTTTTAAAAAAATAAATTAATACCTCTGGCCATTTGTAATAGAGCATGAAAACCTAATGGATATGCAAAACTGATTTTGTAACAAACCACACCTAAGTTTTATTTTAAAATTGCTATGTAAAGCAGATCAAAATGCTCTTCCTTTAAAATAAAACTGCTTGCAATATAAACTGCATGCCCTCTAGAATGGCAAAAATGAAAGCCTCAAAAATAGCTGAAGTTTATCTATAGGTTTTCAAAGGTCTTAGATATAGAAAAGTGTAAGAGAAATTAATGAGATAACCCCTAGCGTAACAGAGAGAGCAGTCACTTAGCTTCAGTTAAAACAGAAAAAAGTAGAAGTACTTTTGGTTAAAATTGGTCTTACCCTGTAACATACAGTGTAGGAAATACACAGCAATAAATTATTTTTCAACACACAGTTTAAATAGTTGAAGCAGAGAATTAAAACCACCTCGTAACTTCATACAAATCAAGAAACAGGATACCTGGGATTTTTTCGTATGTCATCCAGCTGACCAACTACATGAGAAACATTTGTGCGAATCATTTTGAAGGCAATTTCCTCTTCTCCCATGATTTCGAACCTTATTGTTAGAATAATATTTATACATTAATAAAACAACCAAAAGTCAGGTTCAATAAATATTAATCTTTTATTTAACAACTTAGTTCTAATCTGACTGGTCAGCCTTCATTAGAATTTGCCATTTGCTTTCTGTCAGTATATTTATTTTTCAGTTAACGCTCTTGCGCAGAACCACTTCCCTGTAGATTTATTAGTACCCACCCATAAATTGAAGAACTGAATTTTGATACAAAGTATATAAATGACAAGTTTCAGCATAAAAGTAACAATTGATCTGAGAGCAGACGTAAGACTTACTATGCTATTCACTTTGGGGTTTTGTTTGTTTTGGTTTTTAAAACACACACAATTTACAATTGTCATTTATATTTACACTTCAAACATGAAAAAACCATGTTATTTCCCATCACGAACCCCAGAAAAATCTTAAAATAAAATTACAGAAGAGTATATAAAACTACAACCTTAAATACAAATAAAACCTTCCTCACCCACCTAATCAACAACTTGCAAACAAAACAAGTACATGAAATGCGGAAGTATCATATAATCTCTGAAGTATATCTTGAGTTTGAAAGAGCGTTTGTGCCCAGTTTAACAGTCTTACTAGAGGTACCACATTCGTATTTTTCACCTTTCCTATCTTGATATAAGAAAATACCCTGCTTGCTCCTTGAAGTCTCACCTGAGAACCTACTCCATTTATAAAGCTCACAAAATGGATATACAATTATCTCATATTAAAGTTCAACAACAACAAAAGAGCAGCATATATCCTAATGATATAAATATATTACTACAAATCAGTTTAAGTCCAGCAAATCCTTGCCCCCACCCCAACATTTTTCAATCTCATTTGTTGGGTCAGCTTTTCAGTTTTAGTGTAAACTCTCCTGGGAAGGGAGAGTTATTTATAGAGCCTACAGCTCAACTTGAGGTACTATGAATTAATGCATAATAGTGTTCAAAAGCTCCCCTAAGCACCATCTATAACCTTCTTTCATCCTACAGTGTTATTCAATTTTGTAGCCACTCCTGGGGCAACCTCATGCTTCAGAGACTCCCCACCACCTTCCCATGCCCAACGCCGCTGGTGAGGCAATGGACAGGAGACGAGGCTATACGCTCCATGCCAGCAGCTGCCTCATTGGCATGAGTTGGCTTGCTGGTTTCAGAGGAGAAATGTCTGAGAGAACCTGATCTCAGGCAGATCTACACAAATACAATTATTCAAACCAACCCATGGGCATAATCATGGTTTGTCCTGCCCTTTCCAAAAGGGGATGGAAACCCTTTTCTTGTCCCCCTCCCTCCCTCCCTGTCACTCCTCCCTGCAGTAAAACTACAAGGTAGTTAGGGCTAAAATGCTTTTTCTGTTCTTTTCTTTTCTTAAGCTTCAGTAGAAGAAAGGATGAAGCAGATTTACAACTTCTAGTTACAGGACAGGCTCTTTCCTCCTTTTTATGCCACTTTAACTGCCCTCACTTGCTACATATAGTCAATTTATACAGCCATCTAAAAACACTCTGGCTTACTGTTGTACAACACAAATTAGGATCTAACCCAAGATGACACAAGTATTATGGAAATATTTATTCTACTAAGTAAGAAACTGTGAAAAACCCCCACATCATTCTGCACAATGAAACATACGTAAGTGATATCAGTATGTTTCTTCAGTTCCACTGTCAAAATAAATTGAGCTAAGATTTGTTAACATACACATACAATTGTTGGTCATATATAGATTTATGCCTTCTCTTACTGCTTTACAAAACCTAGCATGGCTTTTCACAGGACTGTAACAACATACCTGTATTTGTTTTTGTCCTTGTACGCCTTACGAATCCTGTCAGTCACAGGTTTGCAATTAGTCACTAGGTTTTTTGTTACTGGAGGCTGGAAGCAAAAATTGTTTATATTATAGGTTGCTGAAAATTACGGAGTCTGTTATAAACATGTACTTTGTGGAAAAGTTTATTACAGCTAGAAATGCCTGTGGACACTTTGCTCTTCTGGAACGAAAAGCAATGTTTCTTGATCAACTGTTGATAGGAAAAACACACAGACACACACAAAATATACGGTGCATAACATCACAATGTCCTATGCACACAAATACTATATGAAAAATACAGATTATTTTTGGCAAAAACATTGCAACTTCTAGACTTAAATCTCAACAAAATATTCAGAAATTGTAGCTCATTTTGCAGCTGTCTGACATTCCTCTGGTAGAGGCCACCAGTAACACTGGCCAGGCAAACTCTGCAGAACAGCTGATACACATGAGGCCTTATTTCTATCAAACTATGTTGAAACAATTCTGGGAAATAAAATCCCTGTTCTCAAGGGATATTTCTATCGTAGTAGACTCATTCCAAGAAATTTAGCTGTTGCAGACAACAGAAGTAAAAATAAATTAGGCCTCTGTGCCAAACACAAACTATTTTGACGCTATTTACACTGACTGATAACATTAGTACATTAGGTACTACTGCTTAGATTGGTAATATTTTACTAACTCTCCAAAAAGATTACAGTAATTTGACATTGTTTCCAACCACTTTGGGAACAAGTCCCAACAGACTTATTTTTAATCCCATTCATGGCACATTCATGGCAGCCATCCTTTACTACCACTTTTCAAAGTCTTTACTTCATGGAATTTTGCAGACTGAACTGAGTCAGAGGCAAAATGAAGTAAGGCTATACTGGATGTAATGTCCTCAGACTGTGCAGGATTCTCAAATCCACACTTCCATTTCTTCAAATCAGGCTGACAGAATGGCTTTACATAGAACTTTGCTGGCATTCAGACTTAGGAGAAAAGAGTTTTAAAACCTTGTAACATAATCCATACAAGGAAGGACAGATGTCCAGAGGGAAGGAAAAAGAAAAAAAGTCAATATCTGTATACATTTATCTATACACACACATTGTAGATCTCTGTACTATGATTTGCATGTGTTGGGGATCAACAATGCTTTTCTACTACCCAGAAGTTCATGATCTATACTTACCAAAATTATTTTTGCTTTGATGCAGTACTGGTTTGAAGCTATAAGACACCAGGTCATCAGTTTCACAAAGGACATGCACACATTTTTTTTTCAAATGCATAGGTTGATGCAGGAATTAAATTCTCATTGTAAAAGAAACTTAGATCTAAAGATTCTAGGTTCCTAAATTCCAGTAGGGCTTAACGAGAATTTTACCACTAAAATAGAAATTAAAGACAAATCTTTAAGTAACATCTAGTCCTAAGATCACAATTTTCACAGAATGGTTTAGGTTGGAAGGGACCTCGGAAGCTCATCTGGTCCAACCCCCCGGCTCACACAGGGCCACCTGGTGCCAGTTGCTCAGGACTATGTCCAAATGCCTTTTGAGTATCTCCAAGGATGGAGACTGCCCACAAATGGGCAATCTCTGCCAGTGCTCGGTCACCCTCACAGTTAAAAAAAAAAAAAAAAAAAAAAAAAGGTTCCTGATGTTCAGAGGGAACCTCCTGCATTTTCAGTTTATGCCCACTGCCTCTAGCCCTGTCACTGGGCACCACTGAGAAAAGCCTGGGTCCATCTTCCACGCCCTCCCTTCAGACATTTACAGATCCCCCCTTGAGATTACTCTTCTTTAGGCTAAATAGTCCCAGCTCTCTCAGCCTGTCCTCATAAGAGAAATGCTCCTGTCCCTCAGTCACCTTTGTGGCCCTTCACTGGACTCCATCCAGTATGTCCATGTGTCCCTTGTACTGAGGAGCCCAGAACTGGACGCAGCACTCCAGGTGCGACCTCACCACTGTGGAGTAGAAGGGAAGGGTCACCTCCCTTGACCTCCTGGCAACAGCTCATCTAATGCAGCCCAGGATACCACTAGCCTTCTTTGTAGCAGGGGCACACTGCTGGCTCACATTCAGCTTGGTGTCCACCAGGATCCCCGGGTCCTTTTCTGCCAAGCTGCTTTCCAGCTGGGTAGTCCCTAGCATAATACTGGTGGATGGAGTTGTTCTTCTCCAGGTGCAGGATGTTGCACTTCTCCTTGCTGAACTTCATGAGATTCCTGTCAGCCCATCTTTGGATGTTAAAAGGAGTTAGTCTGAAGCCTTCAAATTAGGAAGAATTATTCTAAAGATGTCCATCTGATGGTTTGGCATTCTTCTGGATTTTGTTTTGTTTTTAAATAAGTGTTGTAATTCAGGTAAAAACTTACCAGAAAGTTCTAGTCAGAGACGTATTGGGCTTACTGTCTTTTTGGTTCACAACAGTGAATTTTCCTAACAAGGATGACTCTTTAAATCCCATATATAATAACATTCTAAAGCTCATCTTTTCTCTGTTTTTGAAGGAAATTAATACCTTTATAAGGAAGTAGCTTGTAAAATGTTCATTTTATAACACTTACTTCAAGGACACACTTACTTCATGGACACACAAGTAGAAATTTTTGTAAATACTTTCTTTCTAGAAATCAAACAAGCTTTTCCAGAACAGTAAATACATGCTCAGGAAAGAAACCAAGCATCTTTTAAGACCAATATTTCTTACCAGATTGGGATCATAATATGCTTCCTGAGTTGGCGGAATGGCATGGATCTGAGTGACGTTGGCAGGAAGAGCTTTAGAGCAATTTATTAGCATTTGTTCTAGACCCGTCAAATCCTAACAGAAAGGAAAAAAAGATAATCTTGTTTTCCCATTGACATTGTTCTAAAAAACCAGGGTGCACAGACATATTTAATGTTATCTACATAACAAATTTCCACGCTACTGTTGGAAAAAGAAGACTTAATATTCAACAGAGCTTAATTCAGTAACTGCTGAAGTCAGTGGGACTCCCTATATGCCTGAAGTAAAGCAAATGCTCAGTACACAGCTGAACTGAGACCAGACAAAGCATGACTTAATGCTGTTTTCATTTAAAATTATAACCACACCTTTACTGATTATGTCAGGACAGTACAGAATACCCAAACCAGCAGTGGCACATTAAAACCCAAATCAAGCAAACATACAGAAAAGTGAACTGAAAGGACAGGAAGAAGATTTTCTGATTAAGGTATGGTCTAGGAACACACTAAAGCAGGACTGTGTTCCAGCTGTGCCAACGATTTTGTGTGCTGTTTCAAGAACAAATGATTTCCTTGGTTTGTGCCAATTCCTCTCTGTAAAGCAGAAGCAGTACACTTCGTTCTCTACCAACTGTTTCTAAGGGCACGTTTTACAAAGACCATGTCTCTGTTCATCACGTTCCTAGGAAAACAGAAATGTGAGTCTTTGTATATGGTCATAGTATTTACCAGTACAACTTCTTTGCTACCCTTTTTCTCAGTTCTTTCTTTAGGCCACAAGTTCCTCAGGGCAAGAACTGTCTTTTACAACGTGCAAGAACAAGAGTAAGCACAGCAGGATCCCACTCTTCATAGTGGCTTTTACTAGTGAACATCTTTTCTGACAAACTCACACTAACTGCTTTCTTGAACTCGGACAGCAACAGTCTGATGCTGGCAGAACTCAATTTAACTGTTGACTCCACAGAACAGTGATAAAGTAGAACACAATGTTATATTCTCCAGGTAAAACTGAAGAATTGCCAGATGTTACAGATGCTATAAACAAGGATAAATAAAGACTTGACTCATTTTAACAGCTTTGGACTTTAAAACTCAAGTTACTCTAAAAGTTACTGGTAAGGAAAGAGTACCTGCAAACTTAATGGGAGTTCATGGATTCTCGTGGCCAATGTGCGAATCTCTCGGTCAGACAAAATGCCTGACTGGTCCGTATCAACCTCATCGAAGATCTGAGAAACGTTCAGTGGCTGGACTGCACTCATAAGGTAGTAGAAATATGAAAAAGCAAACTGCATATCTTCTGAGTGCCGCACTTTGTGAAATGATGTCTTATCAAACTCCTCAGGAAACCTATATAACAACGTAAACTAATTCAGTACTCCAGTTTCTAAAAGTGAAACATTCCTTACCTAAACACAAATTCTCATCTAGAATTTTAAAAGGTCCTCAAAAGTCTCCTTATTTTAGCACAACCATCATGTTGTAATAAATTCCCTGTTTACTTTTTCAAAATATAATTTTAATGAGTAGCCATCAAAACACTGGAAATGGCTATAGCAAAGCATCAACAGAAAAGTACAATTACCTACTGTTTTACATTATTCCAAAGACACACTCACATATCCTGTAGCTCTTGCATAACAGTGCGGTCAATCATGTGAGGCATATGAGCAGGGACTTTCCGAGATGTAAATCCAAATTTGCTGTTTAAAAGCTTATTTACATATCGAAGGGAATCAGCAAACGTATCTTTCAGCTGCCTTCCAAAATGTTTACCATCAGTAAAGTATGACATTTGTTTGAGTAACGACTCTTCTTCCTAAACAGCAGGACAGGCATAAATCAAGGTTGCATTACTAAAAAAGACCAAAAACATTAAACACACAGGAAAAATGACATTTCAGCCAGGTGCCAACTCTTTCCAATATTTGAAAATGGGAAAAGAAGTTTTGAATATTTTTCTTCATATTTCTTAGTTCTCTCTTTTAAAAAAGAAAAGATAAAAGGTAACCTTTTCCTTAAAGTTTTCATGCTCTGAGGAAAAGCAGTCTATATAAAACTTCCTTAATATTGGTGCTCTGACACCTCACACACATACGCAGCCCCTGTTTGCCGTCAGATTTATCTGTAATACTGCCTTTTTTTGCTGAGTATTCATCCATATTTGATAAACGGAAATCCTATGAATATAAAGGTTCCTCATGCAAAATCCAATCTCAGATGAACAGAAAGAGAAGTCTTTTAAAAACATAGACCCTTTGCTGTCTGGAGCAGTGCAAAGCAGTTGCTACCAACTGAAGCACAGTCTCTATCTTCTCTTCAGGAGGTTTCCAAAGCAGAGGAAGCTTCCTACAGATTTTTTTTGACACAGTCTGGATATCCAGTTTTGTTGGCAGACTTTCAATTCAACTTTTAGAACCCAAGTATTTACAATTATCCCTAATTTTTACTTTTTTTTTTTAATAAACTGGATCTATATTTGGATAAATGCAAAACAAAACTTAAGCTTTCTGTTGTAGTGCTACATGTGTTTGAACAATAGCACTGTGCCAACATACAGTGAATAAAAAGTGAATCTGACAAAAAAGCAATAGAAAGGGAACAGAAATGGCTATTCAGTTTTTACCACCTAGCTAAGAGAGGCACAGATCAAACAAATTAAATTTTACATGAAAAGTCAAAAGCAGCTTTCAAAAAAATCTCAGTATTTGCCTCAAAGGCAAGACACATTCCAAATTTATAGATCATATTAACAGTATTCCAGTAAATGCAGAAAGATGCAACTATTCCAATAAGCAATCACATCAAGATACTCACATCAATAAGGTCTTGGAAATACTTCTTTTTCTCCCATGGCAAAAAGCCTTGGTAGCTTCCAGCATAAGACTGTAATTTTCTTCCCACTAGCCCCTCCCTTACATTTGTATCCACCTGCACATGCTCTTTTCCTCCTTTCATTCCCTGTGCATCTTCTCCAGTATCTAAGTTACCAGTGTGTTTTGATTTCTGGGTTTCCCTTAATATGAGCGCATTCAATACTTTTTCTCGAGTTTCATTTTTACTTCCCATGCTCTGGGAGGGAAGCGTGGGTTTAGGCTTTACTTTATAAATAGGTTTATTTGTGTTCATTGTCACAACAGTCCCCTTTGTTCCTGTAAGCCATGAAGGAACTTCTTTATTTGCTTTTATTGTTCTTATTTTGCCATCATTTACATCTTTATAAGTTTTCTGCCAGCTGGTATGGTTCTTCTGATCTTCTAAACGATTATGCAGGCCCTTCTTTTCTAGGCCTGTAATACTCTTTACTGTAGCTAAGAACTGGAAAGGTCTCAGGAGAACAGCCTTGGATAGGTTAAATCCTTTCTGAGTGATATCGCCATTTAGTAGTTTTAAGTCCAGCTTCTGCAGCGCTTGCTGAACATCTTCAGGAAGGAGAGACACATTTACTGATGGTATTATCACCTCTTCCTCTAGACTCTCTTTCGTGCCATTTCGACGTCTCCTGACTCTTGGAAAGCGTTTTTCTTCAGGAATATCCTCAAATATCATTTCAGCTTCTGGTACTGAAGTTACAGTTTTAAAATCAGAGTTGGATTTTTGCATGGAAGTTGTGTTCAGTTTTGGTTCTTCTCTAGTATCAGCTTCAACAGCTACCTGCATTTTAAACTCCTCATCATTTTTATTTAGAAATGTAAGGTTAAAATAGATCACAGTCGCATTCATGCCACTATGCAATATGAGGTGGATAGTCTTCCATTTGTTAGCAACTGAAGCGTGTCGGATAATTGGATTATCACTATACGAACCCTCAATTCCTTTCTTGGCTATTTCGCTGAAGCTAAAGTAGGGCAGACATTCACCTTTGGGAATAACATAGTATGTCTGATTAAGCTGAAGCGTCACCTTGTACATCTCTTCAAAGTGATCTGGAAAAAAAAACAAGAAATAAAACAACATTTATGTTGATTTGCAGTGCGACACTTATCTTTCAGGCTTTTTTTAGTTGTACTATGCCCAGCTAGACTCACTATATTAGCAGGGAGACAGCGTTGTGAAAGAACACTTACTGTAGCTTCCGGTTTCTTGCTCACCTGTCTTTAATAATGAATGACTAGAACATACTCAGATATATAAAGCTGCGAGATAGTCCAGTCTTACTTTAAAAGCCAGTATAACTTACCACTCTCTCAGTCTCTACCCAAAAAGCCTAAAGTGGCTCGTTATCACACACCACTTAAAATCATGTATCAGTCATAAGTAACATGCCCATACTACATTTTTGCCACATTTTAGTAGATTAACGTTAAAACAGTTGGATTTCACTGCTACACTGCATCTTGATTTGATACTTCCAAAAATCAGATAGGCTGAATTGAACTTCTCCCTACCACAGCAGAAGATAGATTATCTGTCAGCTCTCACATAAACAAAACCTCACTGCCAGTAACAGAACTGCCAGCAACACGTTTGTCTGAGCTGAGATGCAGGGGAGCCTCTACTCTTCCAAACAGACCAAATTCTTCCATTTCTGTTCTAGTACCTATACCAGACAGCACTCTCAATCACTTCATTCACTCCTGCTAGTCTTTCATATCAAAATAAACTTCAGATGACTTCCCAGGTGACTGAAAGTAGCTTTTGGCAAGAGCACACAGTCAGGCTTGAACTCACCTTGTCAGCATCAGAGAGGTTCTTTAAATTTCTTAACCACTACGGGCATCGAGTCAGCTGTCCTTATTTGGACTTATAAGGACTGTTTGCATAGCTGAAATGTAATTTCTCCATTTAAAATGTAAGCCTCCTGAGGCAAGGAGTTTGATGCTTGCTGCTCCCTAAAGTATCAAGCGCCCCACCAAGGCCTGGTCAATAACAGTTTTATTAAATAAAGCAGCATATAATATTGATTCAAGTTTGGATTAGTGAATACAAGAAGCATCTGACTTTTTTCTTCCACTGCTAGCAGCTCTTTTCCATGACTCTGTACATGGCACCTTAGCCCAATCCAAGAGTAACGATGAACCAAAGAGGTCAGGAAATTCAAGAGAATCCCTACGCAAAGTCTATCAGCGATGTATTTTACATACCCTGGCCACAGTCACCAGCATCAAATCCACAGGAGAGGACATTGCAGGCCTGATCACAGAATTTGTCTGCTAGCCAGGAATTAGCACAGCCTTGGTTACAGTATGAAACCCCACTTATTCCTGCACCAAATTGCCATGGTGGTCCGTTCCCAATACCTCCAACTGCACCTCCACCAGCAACATAGCGACTACCCCCACTGTTACCTACATGGAAAGAAAAGAAAAACAAAAACAAACAGTCCTTTGAAATCCTTATTTCTGAGGAAAAGCACATTTTAAGCCAGTGTTAAAGCTAGACTGAAGAGTCAACAATCTTAATTATCACTGGTGAAATTAAAATGGGGCAAATGCTAACTAGACCTCTGCGAGTTAGTGTAAAATCTACAGTGTTCACAATCTCACTGTAGAAGTTTAGGAACCAACTTACAATCGCAATAAAAACGCCAACATGTTTTGTCTTAACTTGAAAAAGGCAGGCAGAAAACTGATTTTTTTTTTTCTTCTCATGCTTGCAGTCTTGACTATACAGCCCTCTAAAGTGGTATCACTTCCTCAATCCAGAAGTACCACTTCATTTTCCTACCCTGCAGTCCTGAAAGTTCTGTCTAGAAACTAATGGTGCAGCTTCACAGTCCTGTTATTATTTGGATTCTGAGTCCAAATAATATATAATCTTGTGTATATGTTACACAATTAATATGTAGTAATAAATAATAATAATAATAATGTTCATTTCAAAAACCTTCCTTTCAGCTAGTCATATTTGGTACCTCAAGAAAGATTTTTCTTATGTCCTACTATTTGCTGTCATTTTCCACAGAAATTTGTAGTTTGCAAGAAATAAAGTTTTCATCCATAAGCCAACTTTCTTTTTTACTAAAGGAGGCAAATTTTGTAGTTACAGGAGAATGACAAAAAACAAAAAACAAACAGTACATTTTTTCTTAATTTAACATTGCTGTCTTACCAATGCAATCACCTCCATCCCAATCACACGCTGAGTTATTACAGGCTTTATCACAGTAACCGTCTTTAATCCATGAGCCAGGACATCCCTCAGCACAGTTTGGCACAGGCCAAGTCAAGTAAACCTGGAACAACATTACACTCTGAGACAAGGACTGGCAAAAAGAAGTTAACTGAGCTTGTTTCTTGGAATACAGAAACTTAAACTAAGGCCTCCCTGTGTATAGTGCCTTAAGTATTCACAAAGCTTTACAAACAGCATTTAAACCCTATCACCTGTGAAGCAAGTTATCCCTTTCAAACAGAAGGAAGAACTGGAGAATTCCCAAGGCGATACAGAAAGCCAGCAATGGCCAGAAACAGAAAGCAGGACTTCCCAAATCTACTTCTGCAAACCACATTCCAATGAAAATTAACATTTCATCTTCTATCAGATAAGAAGAGGGGAACTTAAACTCTGAAATAGCTCTGCAGTTCACTTGTTCTCCTGACTCAAAATGTTTCTTCATTACTAACCAGTCATGAGATAAGCAGCCCTGAAGCATCTGATCCTCTAGGATTTAAATAATTCTAAGAATTGTCAAGATAAAAAAAAAGTGCAGGGGTCTGTGTATTTTCAACTGGGGAGGCATTAAAAGCCACACACGTTTTCCTTTAGACCTTACTGTTTCAAGATTTTAGCAGCACATTTCCTATTGAAACACTTGCTGATCAAGTTATCACAAACAACACTGCATGTAAGCTGACTTTATCATCATAACTGGGAAAAATAACTGAAGAACAATACTAACACACTAACAATGTGATTCTGCAATTATATGCCTATGTCCTTAAAGATTTAAAACAACTAAAAGACAGCCTCTAGTACTGAAACAGTAATTTTAGGGTAGCTTAAACTAATTTTGTACAACTCTTCCATGTGTGCGCGCAAGTATCACATCTGCTTGCACCAACTGTTTAATTCTGTAGGTCTCTAGTGTCTTGTGTACTTACTACTCCAATATGTACCACAAATATGTATCTTAATTTTTTCCTCCATGTCATTCTTGTAGATCAAGCTCATGGATGAGAATTCTGCTGGCAACCAGTCTTTACACACGACTATTGATAACGTTTCCTCAGCCTGCTTTCCTTGCTTAACTCCAGTTGTTGATAACTGGTCCCTTGAAAGACTAAGTTACTGATGTTCATGAACATGCAACAATGTATCTTTTAGTAAATAGTTATATATATGATTATATATAGATTAGGCAAAGATATTATGGGTCTATATTATTATAATATACCTTGAAGAGAGGTAATTAATGGTACATTTAAATATTAGACCAGTTTGAATGTCATCTGACCTCAGTGTTCCCATGGAAGAATTGATTCTGTTTTGAATATTTCCCACAAAACAAAAAGAATTTACAAGGGAGGGAAGACTGACAGCTGCCAAACACCACATCAGTCTTACCAGTAGTCCAACAGAAAGTGGGAGAATTAGAGAACGACACCAAAACTAAAGCACGAAGCCTGACAGAGGAACCATTATACCACCAGAAACCTGTGAGTGAATATGAAAAAATAATTCTGCAACCCAAACACCAAGACAGCACGCATACAAAAAAAAGAGCCCTCCCTACCCCACACCTTTGCTAAACAATTGTCTACTTAAGCATAGTGAACCTTTATAGGTAAAAAGGAGAGCAGGCAGCAAAGGGAAATCTTCTTATACTTGCACTCCCTTTCAAAGTAGTATTCAATTTGAATGGTATTAGCATAGAAAAATTTTACATCTACTTCTGGTAAAAAATCCTTTCGTAATGGCTTACCTTTTGACCTTTAGAGTGACTGTAAAAATCATCAGGCCAAACATCCTTCCCAAACATAACATCGTCATTGAGATAGATAAACTTCTGAGAGAGGCCACTGATACGATGAATGTGACTTTCAATAGCTGGTGAACTGAAGGTAGGCAAGTGACTCACATTCTGAAATATTTCCTAAAACAAAAAAGACCCAACAACCCAAAACAGTTTCAGAAGGCAAAAATAAATAAAAACCCCAAACCATAAGAGGTCAGACACACCAGATATATTTGATACTTACCTACTAAAAAAAAGTTTTACCAACAACAAGGAGAGATACGAAAGACAAAAAAAAGTGAAAATATTTTAGCAAAAAAGAAAAACTTCACTATCTCTTTTCTCCACACAAAACAATTTTCAAGTTTGGTGCTTAACTAAGAAACTGCACCTGGTTCAATGCAAAGACACAAACTCCTCTTTCACTGGCTACTGCATCAGGCTCAGTGTAGACATATTTATATTTCTCATGCAGTACAGGCTGCACAAAATTTCAAGCAAGTTGAACCTGTTCCAGCATTCAGGATTCTTCCATCTCTTCCAAGTAACTTCACAAGCAGACAACAAAAGAAGTTGAATTAGTATCTTGTTACCATTTGGGTTGCTCAGGGCTCCTATGGCATGTCCAGATACCAAAATTACTCCCAAATTCATAGTAAGAGTCTGTTTTACTTATTCAGGAAGTTTGAAGGATCCCCTCTTTCTTTGTAAATAAGATTTTTAGAATGCATAGCTACTTTTTTTTTGCGGGCATCTTCTTAGTTCCAGTAATCGTAATCCATCCTGTCTCAACACAAGCTTATTAGGTAATTACTGGTACTGAGAGAGTGTTTATGGATTCAGATCACATTTTCTTCTCCACAGGTCTTTTATAAATAGACTTTATAAGGAAATTAGACATGGGTATATATTAGCTGAAGCCTCAGTATCTAGAAAAGTGGACTAAATGAAGGCTTGATATATATCCAGTTATCTGCTTAGCCAAAATACAAAGACATCCTGGAGTTTAACAAAACCATGGATGAGACAGGTTAAGAGGTGGTCAGTTCTACCTTCCAAATAAATGCAGCCTTTAGCTGAAAGGGGATCACTACACTTCACAACAAACATAGAATCTTTAGTAGTGGCACTTCAATGCTGGTATTTTTGTTTGTTTAGGGGGGTTTGGTGGGGTTTTTTGTTTGACTTCTATTTGGGTTTTACCTGATGTGTCACTATGGTTATCCGAGGATTGTCCAGGTTAAGCCAGGAAGGAATCTGCCCATTAGTGACAATGAAAATATGTCGCACCCAAGGGGCATGCCTCTCTATTGATCGTAATGAGTATCTCAGCTCTTCATTATCCTCAAAACGGCTGGCAGAAATATCTTCATCCTGTTTAGACTACAAAAAGGAGAAAAAAGAAATCCTTTCTTAGATGTTAAACAGAACATTCAAGTTCTGATCCAGCTAGGTAACAACAGTGTGCTTTAGCATATGGGTGCATAAGTATTTGAGGACTTAGACATTCAAAAATAAAAAAGTACATTGATTAACTACCAGTAGTCCTCTTATAAATTATCAAGGTGAACAATACAATCTTCTGACATCAACGGCTGACCAGCTGGTGTCACCAGGATGTCTGCTGACCACACTGCGAGATGACAATGCCTCGTGTGACGCAGGCTTTTGAAGAAAGAGCTCCAGAAAAAAAACACACCCTCCTGTTCTCCTGGATTATTAGTCTCAATTATTTCCCGATCTTGATCAAAACCCAAGTTGCATTTCAAATCTGTAACACTACCTTTCAGAAATCTAGTTTTAAGAGGCTAGGGCCTTCCAAGTGCATTGCATCATAAGCTGTATATAAATGTCACCCAATATAGATACACTAGAAATGTCACGATGTAGCAGTTCTTCAATTATCCCCTGCTCTTTTATTTTCAAGAACTTAAGCAGGACGAAAATTAACAAAACTGAGCCTAATATTCACTACCAAATAGCTAAATGTTTCCCTATGTTTTTATTAAAAAGACAACAGTTTAATTAGAAGCTCTTCAGGTAAGTAACAAATTAGGTTACATGACTCTCTAACATATGTTTCTTTTCCCATTTACTAGAACCTAAAGACCTCTTCTAAAAACTTAAAATTAAGGCTGCCTAAAAGGAGCATTTCTAAAAGTATGTTCAACTGAAATAGAAAACTCAAGAAAAATGTGAACATTTAACAACTACCATTTTTACTGCAGATTCTACACACTGTAAATAAGTCTCCCTCTTTTCCAATATGTACAGTAACACAGCTTACACATTCTCAAAAATATAACAACTGAAAACATTTCAGCAACAGCAGCATCCATTGTCTAGGTACACATTTAAAAAAATTATGCATAATTTCAACATGGAGAAGTAGAAGGTTTGAGTCCAGAGTTTGCAGTAACAAGAAAAAGTTCCCCAAAAGCCAGGTTCACAGATGCAAAGACAGACTGCAAGCTTTACTGGAGAGGGAGCACTAACTTTACCCATGCCACTTGACATTGACTGTAAAATAAAATTCTGGCAGGAGAAAAACACCCAAGATTTTAGAAGATCTTATCTTGAAACAGACATCTTGTTATTTTATTTCCTTTTGCTAAACCAAACATCCTTCCTTGTATCAAAAGCATTTGAAGTAAACCTCCTTTCCTTACAGATGTCTGTATTTTAGTTTTTCAACATTTTTGCAAGAGAAGCAATTAGCATTTGCTCAGCATACATGATGCTGCAAAGCCAGAAATGCCCAAGAAATGTATCAGGAAGGAGACAAGCAGGTTTGCTAATAAAGCCCTTTGTCTCCCCACACAAGCAGCCTGCTTATCTGTCAGTCAGTATCAGTTAAGCCTTTCAGAACTTGACTGCACACGACTTTATCAGAACATGCACAGAGGGCAACATTTTTCACTTAGTGGAGAACAAAAAAATTTCAATTAAATATCACTGTTTGATCCTTCTTCCTCCTTGATTTCAGAATTTGACAGTGTTCTTGTGTGTTTTCTGACAACACAGCAAATACTGGATTCTTAACACTCCCAAGCTTCTGGAAGAAATCCCATGCTCCTCGTCATTGACTAGTCAGCCTCTACTTGCAGTTTTTAAATACTACAACCTTCACATTCTGTAACAGAATTTACCTACCTGACTGACAGAGCTGAGGTCCCATAGTAAATAAGCAGGATTAAGCGTCAGTTCTTTTCCATCTATAGTCATGTTCTTCTTTGCTTGCTTGCTCAGTTCTTGGAAACCCTTAGGGTTATTCAGTTGCAAGAGAGCCACGCTGGCTTCTGAATAAAGCTGCAACTATACGAGCAGAGAAAATAATTTCTGGCATGCACCCACAGCAGCACTCTTCCTTTGACAATTTCATCTTTTTGTTATAATTTTCTTACTAGATTTACTAGTAAGAAGGACGACTAAACACTGCTTTAAAAGAACTACAATTTTGTAAGAACACAAAAAGGGGTAGTAAAAAGTATAGTAAAGCTGTACATGTTATAAGTATTTCTGGAGTAAGTGAACAGTGTCTCCATCCACCCCCCCACACATACACCCCAAAATTCATATTTTATCACAACTTTATTATACAACTGAAAGAATCATACTTTTTTCCTGTCTTAAGCAATGCTTTTTTCAGAAAATTAAGGCCACCAGTTCATCATTGCTGTCAGAAGCGTGAAATTTTCAGAATGGTTTACAGATCAACATACAGCTCAGAAATCCGAGATACAAAGGGCTCCAGAACTAATCCATGTGGGTCTCCAAGTCCTTAATGATGGTTGCCAATATGCTGTTAAGGTCATTTCTTAGTTGGGGACTGTTTGATCTGTTTGCTGTTTTTATCTCTTGCCACTAGTAAGTCTGTATATCAGATTTCATAATGCACAAGAGAAGGGGCTCGCGCTACACACCCTCTTTAACAGCTCCTATAGCTTACAAATTGCAGGGCATCAAAACATTTCACTAGAAATACAGCATAACCCAATAAAATACTGTGTTTACTGTATAAATTAGCATGACCAGACACAAACAAGCTAAAAGCAGAACTGCACTTTGATTCTCCAAGTGCATCTATTCAACAGTCAGACTGAGAATAAATGCAGTCAATCATTAACAATATTTATTAGATGCTATGCTTAATTTTTGTTCCTTCATGCAATGTAAGACAAATAAGCAAGTCTCCTAGATTTTCAGTTGCGTAAGATCTGTAAAAGCAATTCATAAGTTATTAAACATGACTGTTCAAATTTTGTTAACAGCAAAGCCATCACAGTTTATCTCATAATACCCTCATGTGATTTTTTTCTTTATTTTTTTATTAATTCTGACCCTTTCTGCTTATTTTAAAACAACACTTGTCCCAGAGTTAGCATCCCTTCCCTCAGCAAGACCAGCTGTCCCACTTGTGACATTTTAAAGCTGTTGATGCTTTGACTCATATGCTATTTGAGATCTTTCAATCTGACTTATGAGGCCTGCCATTAGAAAAATCTGATAAATCTCAGACCTTCCAGGGAATCATCTGAACCTACGGGGGGAAAGGATGGTTTCAGTAGCTAAATGGCTGAGGTATAGTTACGGACTGCAGCTAGCAACCTCCAAAAATATCGGTATCAAAATGCTACAGATTGCAAAGCTGCCAACAGTGGGTATGTGCTTTATTTAGGAATACAACAGTGTCATACAGTCCCTTAGAATCCATCATTTAAAATATACATATAGCAAACCAAAAATATTGCCATTCTAGAGTTTTGAAAGCATTTAAGAAGATTTCGTTTCTCTTTGTTTTTCACCAAAGTCAACAAAATAAGTACCTGTACTATAGATTCCTAACTAGATTTATTACAATCGCTTCCTCTATTCCCCCACTTAACACAGCACATATGCTTTACATTTTTGAATATGTAACAGTCCAAGCACAAACAAGAAGTAGTGGAAAAATGTGCTCCACTGCTTAGCATTGGCATTAAGATGGCCCCTACATTGAACAGATTACTTTTACTATACCAGTGATTTTTTCCACCAACACTTTCAGAAAGAAGTCTTTTCATAAGCAGAGCTATCGATACACTTGGATTTCAATGAAGTTATCTGGTGACATAACTAACTAGATTCTAATAAATTGCAAGCTCTGCTCAAAGCATTTTGTTGCTGGTATATTCAAAATGGCATTGTCACCTGGCAGCTTTTCTGATTTCTCACAGGAATTATCCTTCTGTCAGTGGGGACACATGTGATTGCCCATTCCCTTGAAATGTTATCTTCTAGAGATCATCTTCATCCTGGTCAAACAGGCAGCAGACCCAAAGGTATTGTGAAAATGGAACAGAAAACCAAGCAGGTAGATGCACAGAGTCAGCATGATCAGGCAAGCCTCAGCTTCTAACACAAGCAGGCTGAAAAGACGCTGTGCTGGCACACACACAGACCACCACCTGTGCACATTTATATCATGCATTCAAAGACGAGACAGGAAAACTGCATTCTCCCCACAAGTAACTGTAAATGCAGATTCTCCTTTGGAGCCATAGAAGGCAGGCTGGATGGGCTAAGCCACTCCATGTGGAAATGAAAGTTTTCTTCTGCATTTTCAAAGTAAGAGGCCTAAAGAGAAGACGTTTTTCTGAGGTGGAACTTGGACTCTTAACCAGTCTTTCAATTATTATGCTTTATCTTCTTAATGGCCAAAGCTGATTGTTAAGGAAATGAGATGCTCCTTTTTTCACACTCCAGTATGGATTATTGGGAAAACTCATATGCCCACACAGCAAGGAAAGGGGGAGGTATGTGTTGAGTTAGAGTTACAAAAAGCTTTACAAGTGTGAAATACTGTTGTCTTAACAAATTTACCAAGTTCCCTTTACAAGGTAACTAGTAGGAGAGTCATCTCAGAGACAAAAGCAATGCAATGCCTTAGTTTGTTTTTTTTTTTTTTT